CATTCATCACACTTTTATTTAGGTGATGAGTCTCAGGAAGGGCATTCTACCCCGACTGAAAAAAGACTTCAGGAGATAGATGAAACTAGAAACATCTGCTGTTCTGCAAACAATGCTTCCAGGCAATGGAAATGTGTATAAGAGTTTACATAGCCATAACTTTCTATAATAAACAAATTATGGTGCAATAAGAAATTTTATAGAAAAGAAAAAGGGGAAAGAGATTACTGCCAAAACACATATAATTTAACAAGACAAAGAAGTACTCAGGCGTGACAAATAAAGGAGAAAAATAACATAGAGCTCACTGTCATTGAAAATGAATTCAAAGTCAACAATTTAGGTGAGGTATGTAAGGCTGAGGGTGGGATGATACGGGGAAGAAAGAGGAAGTCAGTACAGTACGGAAGAGTGTTTAGGAAGAGGAAGATAACAATAATCTTACCCAGGTCCTTAAATATGCTGGTCCTTTTTACAGAAATAATTTACTAGGAAATAAATCCATTCCTGTTCTCAGTACTATTAAAAAGATGTGAAGAAAATAATAATAATGCCACCTACAAATTTCACTTTATGTCAGGCACTGTTTAAAGTCCTTTATATTCATTCATTCATTTAATAAAACAGGGTGAAAGTTTAGAAAGCAGTGAGAGAGCTGGGGACATGAATATGATCAAAATACATTACACACATGGAAACCTCTCCAAAAACATGATGGAGGGCAACAGGGGTGATGAGGAAGGGGAATGATTAAAGTATGTTATGTGAATATACAAATCTGCCAAAATGAAATCCATTAGCCTGTATAACCAATATGCACTAATAGAAACAATGTGGGGAAAAAAAGAAATGGAAAATTAGTCCTATGAGGATATTAATTCTCAGAGGACCAGATAAGGAGAAAATGGTTTATATTATGACAAAGACACATCAGCCAGATAGAAAGAAGAAATTATTTGACTATTGAGTGGATCAAATACTAGAAAAGAATTTTGAGGGTACTGTGATTCCAAAAGACCATTGCCCACTGAAGAGAGCTGAGGTATGAGGAAGCCAAGAAAGACACAGGGAGACTGACAGGGTAAATCCAAGACAACTGGGCAAGGCCCAGCTGAGCACCAGGCCTAGAAGGAAATCCAAACCAAAATGCCAAGCCAACAGGCCACAAAAAGAAGGTTGTCAGGCCATAGAAGCTGAGCCAAGAGTCATGGAATGGGGTGTAACCCATGAAAGAGCATCATGAAGGCAAAAAGGCAGAAGCTCTAAAAGCCAATTGTGCAACGTGTTCATCTCAGCAGACTGTCAACTACTCTGCCTTGGATTTTTTGCAACCACGCAGCTCACTTAAAGGAGTCCTGCTTGTGGACTGTTACCTAACATTAAGACTTTTCCAGGAAAATGCACTGGGCTAAGTAGGCACTTTCTCTAAATGGCTTAGTTATTTAACTTCTCATCTAAAATCAGGGTTTGAAGGCTGGGGATTTAGCTCATTGGTTCCAGCGCCTGCCTCACAAGCACAAGGTCCCAAGTTTGATCCCTGGTACCAAAAAAATAAAAAATAAAAATAAAAACAGGGTTTGAACATGGTCCCAATGTCTCCACAAACTTTAGGACTCTCTGCAAAAAGTGTAAAAGATGAAAGAAAAGAAGGTACAACAAAAGAAAGGAATGAGAACTCCTAATTGCCATTAAGTTTATTTTTATGTTTTAATACAAATGAGCTAACTAAATGTGGGAATAAATGAGAAATCATACAGTAAACCTAGTAATAGCAATGAGGATCTGAAACCACAGTCTATGCAGAACAGGTAAATCAAAATCACCTAGGAAGCTTTTAAGAAAACATATTCTCAGATATTTTCTCCAAACCTGCTACATCAGAATCTCTCAGGATTGGCCTAGTTATCTCTATTTTTCAAAACTCTTCAGGATTTCTGATACACAAATAGACTTGGGAACTTCTGACTTTGTAGACTCTCCCAGGGTTCAGGGCCTTGTACCTAAAATGAGTGAGAGCTTTTTACCCAGCTCTCTTCTCAGGAGCCTAGAAGAGTAGTGTTGGTTGATTCCATTTATCCAGAAATTTCATGATGATAGGAAAACTAGGTTTTTTTTAAAAAAGAGGATCTTATGAGGAAAATGAGACAATTTTAAGAAAATGCAAACCCCTGTGAAGAAGTGAATGGAATATATATAGAATTGTAAGCACAAATAAGTTTTGTAAAATATAAATAATTGCAAGTATAAATGCCCTCCTTATAAGACACTGGAGAAGCCTTTACTCAGAGCCACTTAGAAGAAAAACCCTGTCCTCAACTGAGTCCAAATCTGCACTTCCGGTCATTTTCATTAACCTTGGTCTTTTTCGACAATTTCCTGCTATCAGTGCTAATATGCTCATTGTAAGGGACTCTGTTTTTCTGTCTGCAGTTACTCCAAGTCTAAAGCCTAATACACAGATTCTTCTTTCACTTAAATTATCGACTATATTTTTATTGGTGTTTCTATCTGTATTCCTAATTGCTTTTGTGTACACCTACATAAAGGTACAACCTTCCTTATGAGTGAAACACTGTTCTCAGATTTTCAGATTCTTCTGTCTCAGGAAGAGAGAAAGAGAGGGAGAGAGGAGGGAAGAGAGGGACAGAGAGAGAGAGGAGAAATCACTTCTGAATTGAGTATTTAACCTTCATTACTATATTGCATGTATGAAAATTCACTTTACATGGGTCCTTCTTTTATAGTCATAATGTACTGCAACTGGTTCTCTCATCTTTTATCTATCATAGGATACTATTTATTTAATTACCATGAGTTGTAACAGGTATAAGAGGACAAAGAATCTGCACTGTCTATTTGTAGGGAACAGGGAAAGGGGACGTTACCAGAACCTCTGCAGTGAGTCCTAGTCTCCTGTGATCCACGGCAGCACAAGGCGAATTACAGGAAAGGTAGAAAAATGAGACTGAGAAGAAGCTGAGCTTTGGGTCTGATCAGTGCTGCTCTGGGCGGCAAAGACGAAAGCCCCTCGCTTACTGCACCTTTTATTCAGTACTCAGTACATCGGGAGAAACAAATGTAACAAATGACTTGCAGAGAGTTCAGTACATCCCCATAAACAAGATGTAGCAATCCAAGAACAATGGGGAATTGCGTAGATGTTTGTTCGTCTTCAACTGGTATAATCTTGTCCTGGAGAATCACAGCATTACTGTATCATTGAGGTCTCTGTGACCAGAGCGCAAAATGGAATTGTCTCGGAATTCCATAGCTGGGCTGTAGGCAGGAGAACTAGGCTAACCAAATGATTTTTCCCTAAAATTATGTAGCATTGCTCCCGACAGTCCATTGTCGAGTCACCCCTAACTAAGTTGGTGCCTGGCTCATATAAGTAGTTCAAAACTGTTTGTTGAATGTTTTCTGCTTTTACTACAAAATAACACCTATACAGGTCCAGTCTGTCCCTCAGCCCTCAGAGAACAGAATTGGTATCACAATCAATATATATATATATTGAGTATATACTCAATACTGAGCCCAGTGCTGGCCCAGAGGAGTTAGGTAGCAAATGTTTGATGAATGACTGAATAACCTAAGGCAAAACTGACCAAGCCATGTGATTCACTTCATTGTTCAATAGCTTGCACAAAAGAGTTGCCTCAGCTTGTGTGTAACCTGAATCAAATCAGAGAATTCAGCAGACATTCTCTGAGCATGAATAGTCTGGCTTGTGAAACAGCTGAATGTCTAAACATTTCCAAGTTCCCAAATTATATGTAGACTAAATAATTTGGAATCAGGAATTGTCCTTTTTAGGGGTATTAGTACTCAGAATACCAACTCATACGCTATTAAATCCAGGAAACAAAGTATATGTCCATTTGCTAAATCCATGATTTTTTTTACAGCATCATCTGAGATGAGTCAAAACCAAAAAGGTCATTAGTGTCAGAAATGTAATCACTGATTTCCTGCTCACTTGAAAGCTGAGAGATAGAGTTTGGGAACTGAGATTTACAGGTCAAATATTCCTCCTCCCACCCCACTACCCTTAAACACACTGCATCAAGTGAAGTTAGGCAGACTATGAAAAACAAGATTTTCCTGTTTCCAATTTCGAATATAAAACAGTCAACTATAGGAAACAAGACATGATTCACGGTAATGTAAACACTTTATTGGTAGTGAGTCAATAAATATAGATCACCTGTGAGGACAATCTGAAATAATTTTAGGTGTAGAATAAAAAATAAAAATTACAGCTAACATCTAAAAGCATTTGCTGTTTGGCAAGCCTTGCACTCACTACATGGACCATGTGACAGTTAATTTTAGGTGTCATTTGGACTGGGTTAGGAATACCCAGATGGCTGGAAAAACAGTATTTCTGGGTGTGTCGAGAAGGGTGTTTCTGGAAGAGATTAGCATCTGAATCCATAGTCTGAGTAAAGAAATCCCACCCACCAATGTGGGTGGGTGTCATCCAGTCCATTCAGAGCCTGGATAGAACAGAAAGGCACAGGAAAGGTGAGTTTGCTCCTTTCAGGAGCTGGGAGATCCAGCTTCACCTGCCTCAGACATCTGAACTCTGGGTTCTCAGGCTGTCAGCCTCAGGCTGAGTCACACCACAGCTGTCCTGGTTCTCAGCTGCATTACACTCCCAGCTTTTCTAGCTTGTAGACAGCATATCATAGGATTTCTCAGCCTCCATAATCACATGATGTAATTCCCATTTAAAAACATCTCCTCATATCTGTATTTATATATTCTACTCTTTCTGCTTCTCTGGAGAATCCTAATACAGAACATATTTCATTAAATCTTCACAGTAACCCAAGAGGTACATTCTATTATTATTGCCATTTTATAAATAAAGAAACTGACATTCATAGAACTTTCCCAAGATCACACATTATACAAATGATGAGGCCAGGGTTCAGTTGTAGGCAGATGCTCTGGTCTTCCTGGCTTTGCCCTTCTAGAAGCCTCCACTTCAGCTCCTGCTTTGGCTATCAATTACAGAAGCAAATCTGCTCATTAGATTTGCGATGGGATAGTTCTGAGTTGCAGTTGAGACGTCAGGGCTAGGTCTGAGTTGTCACTCAACTCTGCAGATAGTGTTTATTGGAAGGGGGTCAGTTACCAAGAGCAGAAGTATTGAGAAAATTGTTTCATCTGTGTTTAGTACATATTTCCACAGGAAAAATTAAGGCTAAATTGGTTTCTCAGAGCATTTTCAGACCTATGAAGAGATGGTAAGCACATTATTTGGTGTCAGCCCTTAGATGAGTTTGATGGAACCGATAACAAATGCTACCGGCTCCATGCAGCTGTGAACTGAACTGCTGGATGAGGCCGGCTGGAAAACAGTTCACCTATGGGACACTACTCAGGGAAAAGATTATCGTTAAGTCTTTTGTTTCCTGAGGAGAGCAATGTTAATAGAAATAACAGAGATTCAGATAAGCTAAAGGCTTCAGGGTAGTAGGTGATTCATGAGTAAAAGATCTGCCTTCCTTTAAGTGATTCATGCACGGCAAAATGTAACAAGATTAGCAAGGAGCCAATAAGATGCTAAGAAGACTCTTTTTTCCTGACCCTCCTAGGACTAGTTTTATAGAAGTGACTGTTTGAGAGAAAGTTTGAAATATTGGACAACTTCTCTAAGAATCAGCCTTGGGAGACACAGGTAATATTCTCACCCTCCTTTTTCCCTCATTTTGTCTCAGAATGGTTGTGTTTCCACCCATACCCTAGACTATGGGACAGTCTTCTCCCCTGTGAACTGCATGGAACTCAAAGCTCTGCTTGTGCACCAGATTTCTTTTGTTTCAAAAGAAACATTAGTGGTGTTCACTGATTTTTTTCTCTTCTTCACTCAGATTGAAACTCAGGCTCTCCTTGGGTCTTGGCCCACCAGCCTTAAGACTGGGATTATACCGCTGGCTCTCCTGGGTCTCCAGCTTGCTAACCCATCCTGCATCCTGGTACATTCATTCTCACCTCCATAAATGCATGAGACAATTCCGTATATTAAATATCTGTATATACATAACACATATTTATTGATTCTGTTTCTCTGGAGAACCATGACTAATATGGTTCCTTTGAACTTCAGCCTCTCGCACGCATGACACACCTTTGGACCCTGTTACCCTGTTATCACCTGGATCTAAAATTCATCACCCATTCTCACCACAACCTCTTATCCCTTCAGGTCCCTGGACTCTTGACACCCACCACACCTTCCTTTGACTAATTGAAACCTCTCATTCTTGACCAACTTCTCCTTAAGCCCCTGCTATATTTCCTGCCTTAACTGACGGGGCCTCAGGTCCATCACTCATCATTTTTCTCAACTTTCTTGCCTATAGTCAGCCACTTTCACCCAGTAAAACCCAAATTCTGAATCAATCTCATCCCCTGCCTACTATTCCACAGTTAGAGCCAAGCTGCTCAGTGCTCCTGGGGAAAATCAGAAAACCACGTGTGCCCTCCTACAAAATTTGGCTTTACTAGCAGCACTCTTTCTGGTTTCTCCTCCACTCTCTCTGGTTATCCACTCTCAGCCTCTGATGGGGCTTTTCTGTCTCACTTGGCCTGAAGGTTCATCCTCCAGTCTCTTCCCCCAGGATACTCTTTCTGGATGATTTCATCATCCCTCATGCCTTTAACGACTTCTGGGCTGATTACGCACTAATCTACATCAGGTACTGACCTCTCCCTGAATCCTGATCCAATTTCCTCCTAAGCAGCTTCAGACACTCCAACCTCAACACCTACAAAAGGAGCTCTTATCTACTTTCATTTCAACTACCAGTAACAACTACCCTGTTCTTCTTGTATCTCCTATCTCAGTAAATAACACCATTCATCTAGTTGTTCGAAATAGGAACCTGGACTCATTTCTACACCCAAATATTCACTAAAATCTGCATATTAATATCTTTCAATTGGTGTTCCTATCTTTCATATCTTCCAATTGGTGCCCTTAATAAAGTTTCCTAACTTTAATTTTTTTTTTCCTCATATGTATCAATGCTTCAGCCTTATTTGGCCTTCTTTAATCTGAAATGAGCTTTCTAGTAATTCATTCAATTAATATATCTGAGCGCCTACTATGCATCAGGGATACTACTGAAAATATAATGAGAAATAGACACAGTGTCTGCTCTCATAAGACTTATACTCTCTCGTGTTTTCTAAAGAATAGATTTGATATTCCTGCCTTACAGACATGCAGTCTGGGTCAGACCAGACTTTGATTTGAAGCCCAGTTCCTCCACTATCCCATACATGCTTGGGCAGGTTAATAACTCTAAGCTTTATCTTTCTCATCTGTAATACAAGGACAGTGAGATTGCCTTCATCCGGGAAGCTACTCATACATACAGTGTGAACAGTGACATTTTACTGATGGTCTCTGTTCTGATTTGATGTCACCAATCCTGACCATGGCATACCACTTGTTAAATATTTTACTTAACTCATAGGGTTAGAATGAGGATTAAGTGAGCCAATCATGTGAAACACATAGAATGGCACTAGCGTGGAAATAGAAAGATATGGCACAGGATTATTTACAGCTATTTTCTCCACCATGGAACTGCACAGTCTTAAAACACACTGGGCTTACCTCTATCAAAGCTCACTGCCTCTCTGATTAGCATTATCTGTTCTTCAAGTACTAAACAAATATGTGTTGAAGAACTCTGCGAGTCAGGATATATATAATCTCTAAAGGCAGTTCTGAAAGTTGCATATAGACAAATCCCATCTCTGACCATAGATGATATGTCACATTCTCACTGTAATTTGACAACTTTAGGTGTTTGACTCTTTGGGAGGAAAGAACCGTCCTACACGCATATCTTAAGAGGAGAATCTATAAGTCTGTCCACAGCTTGAAACCTGGATACTGAAATCTAAACTACACTTAGTCAGAGCTCAAATCTTTTCTTTAAAGTCAAAATTTTTTTGCATGTAACCCGTTAGAGATAAAATGATAGAAGAAATTAAAGGGAGCAAAACAAGAAACTTTTTGTTTATTATATGAGAAAAAACAATTTAGGTAAGCTGGAAAATAACTCATCTGAAATGAAAAATGCTGGCTCTAAATCTTGTTTAGCATTGAGTCTCGAGGAACATAGCAACTCCATTGTGAATCCATTCTTCCCCCACAGCCAGATCTATAAATTAGAAATAATATTATGTGTCCTGGCTAGTCTCACCACAGTTTAATGAGATTATTTCTAGGAAATGGTTTGACTTCAAAACTTATAGGAAAATTCAAAGAACTTTTATTATAAAAGGCTTCAATTTGATTAAAAAACCCTCCATGCCTGCTTTGTGAGTCATACAAATTTCCCACTGACTTTCTATGTGTCTCTATTATCAGCATTAAATATTTATTTAAAGTCTATTGAAGTAAAAAATTATGCTCCCAGCCTAAGGTGATTTCTAATGACTATTTAGTTTTTATGATGATTTTTAAAATTTGCATTAATAATAAAAGAATCTAATGTTAAATTGAAGGTTATTAACATTGGCCTCCTTTCAAGTTTTCTGAATGTTGAAAAGATCTTTTTTCTTTTCTTTTTACCATATCTTTCATTAATTGTGTGAGAATAAAATTACACTTAATTATTATTTAAAATTCTATAGCACATTTGTGTAGACAAAGCTCTGTTGTACCTTAATTCAAGTAGCTATGATTTACTGCCTTCTCAACATCCACTTCATGTCTATAAGCATTTCAAATAGGAAAGAAAGAAAGAAAGAAAGAAAGAAAGAAAGAAAGAAAGAAAGACAGACAGACAAATGTCCCTCCCCAATCTGCTCCTTGTGCAGTCCAGTCTTTACCAACTAAACAAATTGTTTGGGTCATTTTGGAAGTCATTTTCAATACCTTCTTTCTTTTCACATTGGATTAACATGTCAGCTGTACTCTCAAAATACATCCCCAAACATACCCCAAACCTGGTCTATTCACTGTCACTCCGCACCTGAATCATCACAGTAGAATAATAACTGATTTTCCTTCCCCGCTCAGTCCATTCTTAGCACAGCATCCAAAGTAATTCCAAAGAAACTAATTTACAAGATATCTTCCTTTTTGCTTAACCCTAACTAACCTCTTACCACTACCATGGTTGCCCAAATACCCAGAGCAAAAGCCAAACTCTACACAATGACTATGAGGGCTCCCTTAAATGTTCTAGTCCTTCAACCACCATACCTGCTCCACTGGGGCTTCGTACTCTGAATGCTGTCTGTATCTTACCCTGGATATCTGCATGGCATTTCCCACACGTTCCTGCAGTATTATTCAAATGCCACCTTCAAGTACCTTCCCTGGCAACTTTATCTAAAATTACAACTCCCACTCCCCTTCCTACTTTATTCTCCTACCCCTCAACACTACACATCACCCCCTTATCACAACAAAATGTTATCACCTGCCTCCCTCTCTAGAATGTAAAGTATAGGAACACAGATATTTTTATCCTTTTTATCCACTATTTATAATAATATAGAGCCTCAATAAATATTAGTCCTCAAAAATATATCTCAAAAGAAGTTCTGGCTACCTTCAGCAGGACAATGGCTTCTGCTTTTAAACTCTCATCCTGCCAGGAATAGTATAGTACCCTAGTGCACATTTCAGACTATGAGAGCAGAAGAGCAACTATAGGCAAGGGGAGCTGGGTGGAAAGGAAAACCATGCTCTGACTTATACATGATCCCTCTTGGTGACTCTGGGTGCTTCATGCTGGCTAGAACAAACACACAGTTTTCTGAAGAAATAAGAGCACTTGATCAGAACCACATATGTCATGGGGCAGTGAAACGTCTCAGGAGAGGTTGATTCCAGGGTCAGCTTAATTTCCCCATTGAGTAATTGACCAGAACAGAACAGCATTGTTTCCCTTAGACCCATTTCTTAATGCAATGATTTTATTATGAGTTTGAGAATTGTTATTTGTTAGGTGAAGACTATGAAATTAAACCCACAATTTCAAAAGAAAAACTTTGTTAGTACTTTTTTTCTAATGGTCTATGGGCAGGCTGGTAATTTTGTCCAGTCTCACGCCTACTCAAAACCTAGGAGATTTGTCCTCAATGACACCCCACCAAGGATGAATCTGAAAAGTCATACACGTAATTCAGATCAACAAGTCCCTGACAACAAAATGCAAAGATCATAGTCCTTATACCATGCAACTATTGCCAGCAGCGGACTTTTGCCATGCTGGATTACCAGATCTGATTTTTCAGAAAAAGATAGGGTTTAGATTCATGTGAAATCATTCAAATGCAAAAAGTTGGCCTTTAATTCAGATTTTTTAATAAACTACCACTATCACCATACTCTGTGGGCCAAAGAAAACAGCCTCTAACCACATTCAGCAGGGACTCCACCTCTGCTTTACAAACTGATGAAAACTAAACCCAATTCTGAGAAAGTAAACCAATATAACTAAACTGTCTGCCTTAATCTTGTGTTAAATTCCTTCCTCTTGAAAATAGACTTCATAAATATCCCAGAAAGCTAAGCCATAGCATCCTTGGCTCCATATCTTAAAACTCAGTATGCATAGGCAACATGGTGGTACATGCCCATAATCTCAGCACTCTGGGAGACTGAGGGAGGAGGTTCACAAGCTGGAGCACAGCTTGACCAACATAGTGACTTAGTGAGACTCCTTCAAAATTCAAAAAGGGTAGGGAAATACCCCAGTGAGAAGACCCTGGGTTCATTCCCCAGTACCACAAAAAGAAAAGAGCCCTTCAGCATCCATGTGAGTATGTTCTATCCTTCAATTTGTTCGGCAGAATGAGTAGGGAACCCGTCTCCACCAGAGGTGAGGTTCATTAGTCCTTTGTAGAGTCCTAGGTGCTCTTCAAAGGTGCAGTGGTAGAGGCTGAGACCAGAGAGAATGGCAGGGAAATTCCAGTGATAGCAAGGGGAAAATAGAGAATGCTCTGGTTTCCAGAGAAGGGGGGAGGAGACAGCTGATTTGTGCATAAGGAACACAACCCAAACTGAGAAAGGAAGGATTACTTATTCCCTAAATCATTTAATAGACTATGAGCCTCCCAAAAGCTAACAATATCTAATCCATCTATGTATTCCTAGACTCCATTACCATCTCTGACACACAGTAGGGATTCCACTGGCTACTGGGGGGAACCAGAGCAGAGTTGTATCATATGCCAGATTAAAGAAAAATTCACAATTAAACATAAACTGGTGGCTTCAAAACCTCCCTGGGAAAAGTGCAATGTGAAATTTTAACACTTCAGGACAGAGCTGCAATTCGCAATTTCAGAATACAGAATTTATTGTTCTTTAAATTATCATAATGAAAGAAAAGGTAAAAGATGAAAAAATAAAATCTAATGTTCATGGTTTATAAATTTCAAGAAGCAGGAAAGAAAAATCCAGTCCCAACTAGGAATAGGTTAAAGCAACTATAAATCCACAGAGATTTGAATAAAACTATTTTATACCATTGTTTTCCCCAGACATCTTTTTAATGCAATGATTTTATCAAGGGTTTGAGACCTGTTATTTGTTAGATGAAGGCTATGTAATTAAACCTACCATTTCAAAAGAAAAGCTTTGTGGATCCTTTTGTTTTGTTTTGTTTTTAATCTTCTATGACTGAGCTGGTAATTTTTTCCTGTCTCACACCTACTCAAAACCCAGGAGATTTGTCCTTGATGCCTGGCATGAATATAATTACAGTACAGTTCTCTAGTGCATAGTTCAACCACAGCAGACAACTATTGATTTGTGTGCCTATCAACATACTTTTCTCTACTCTGGGAGTTGTTAAAATGCATTAACAACCTCAGATTTCATGTTTTGAATATGACAACAGTGGGAGTGTTGGTTGTTTGGCTTTATATTTTTCTTTTTCTTTTCTTTTCTTTCCAAGACCTGAGATAAACCTTTGCTGAGCTGGGAAGCTCCACCGATGTGTTGCAACAAATTCATGTTCAATTTCACACTGGGTCACACACAATCAGAAGAAAGACATAACCATGGCTTTGGGGAGAGCTGGACGGTCGTCGCAAGGCTGATTGCACAGAAAGCTCTCCCGCTCCTGGCTCCCACAGGGACTTTGGGAAAGCACATCTTCTCTTTCACAACTGAGACAACTTCTCAGCACACAGACTTCAGTGAATTCAAAAGATGGTTTTTCACATGTTTTTCTGATATCATTATTTCGATGATAATAATAATACGAACTGTTCATCCCCTTCTTGTTTGCATGAAACACTCTGCTACGAGACCACATAGTACAATGGAAAAGGACAAAAGTAGGCAAGTGGGAAGCCCTGGGTATAATACTGGCTCTGCCATGACCATGGGACATCATATACCTTCTCTGGACTCCAGTTTTTCTATCTACAAAAAAGGGACTGGGCATTACTGGCTTTCAAATAATGGACCACAGAAGTTAGAGAATTAATAGGTCTCTAGGATCTTATTCCTCTCACTAAACTTTAGCCACCACAAATTAATTCTTATCTGTTTATAGCTCAGATTTCCATATTAGATTTTCCGTACAAAAAGTGGTTTGTAGCTTTATAAGCTTGAAGAAAACTTCTCTGACCTTTCCAATTCTCACTTCCTATGATTCTGTGACTTTTCTCTATGACTATTAGGCAGACTCAATTTCCTGAAGGGCATGTGTTCATTAATGCAGGTCACTGTGGAAAATGGGAAACTGGTTCATGCATGATAGTTTTCTTTAATATAATCACCACTATCAGCAAAATATGAATTTATTAAGCACCTATTCATGTACTGTGCCATTAAGGTTACTTTTTTTTTTAGCACAAGCAAAGCTTACAAGTTTTGTTTTAAATTTAAGGGACTGAGTGATTTTAAAGATTTTGGAAAAGGAAAATCCTAACATTCTTTCAATGTAGTATAACTTCTAGGAAGCAGAGGCAGAAGTGAAAACGGATAATGTATTTGAAAATGTTTTTGTAACACACCTTGGAAAAGCCGAGAAGCAATTAAACAGTTTTATCTTGAACAGATGTTATAGGGAATATTAATGGTTGTCTGTAGTTCCAAACAGAAAAGTATCATGGCTCTAGGTAAATAATGAGATTTCAACCAATCTAAGTGAGAAGTGATTCTTCCCAGGAAAGGGGGTCTAAATATCTACCATCCATTATCACTGAGGCAGAAAAAAACATTGGTCACTCGGGCAATAGAAAATTCCAAGGAACACACAGGTAAGAAGGTAAAATACAGAGTTCACACTAGGAAAATAGGACTTTGCAGTGTTGCATATCCACAGAATTCAGAATTCTCAGTTCACACTAAAAGGGAGCAAAAGCTACCACAGAAATTAACTGACACAAACCCAATATTCAAAAGGGATCTAAATAAATACTTCAACAAAGACTAAAATTTAGTAATGAAGATTATAAGCCGGAAGGAAACCTCTTGGATCTGACCACAAAGAATAAAAAGAAATGGATCACAATGCACTAAAATAGAGACAGTTGACTTATCCATACTGGTAGGTATTATCACTATGTCCTCTGTTATTAAAAACCAGAGATTAATACTGAAATCAGCTCAGAACTCTTTTGTATACCATTTCCATCCAAATTATAGAAGAAACATTGTCACCAAGACTGGAAAACAGTTTTTTGGTTGTTTTTGTTTTGCTTCATTTGGTACCAGGGATTGAACTCGGGACCTTGCATTTGCAAGGCAGGCGGTGGCACATCTGAGCTAAATCCCTGGGCCTAGAAAACAGTTTTTAAAAATCAAGAAACCACTAATCTCTCCCTCTTTCTCTTCCTATCTACTTCTACCTTGATTTTTCTACTTTGTGAGCCAGTTTGGCTGACAAATTGTGCAATTCAGTTCTACTCTTTATTTATCACAATTCTTGATGTGTTGCATCTTCCAAAATAAAGTACCTAAATGCCGCAAAACTAGAATAGAATATGAAAAGATGCCTCCTACCAAAGAGAAAAAGCTCAAGTCCTCCAGAGTTTAGATAACTTTGAGTGTTCTAATGGGGAGCTTCAAAATTTTGATAATCTTATACACAACTGATACTTATGGATCTCCTCTCAAACACCACAGAAATTTCTAGAAGGTAGCCCCTAAGTTATTAAAAATCTATTATATATCATGGGAGTTAAGTTTTGAAAATGTGCACCATGTAGCATTCAGTATCCCAGGCACACTCATTCAACTAGGTGACTATATAATAAATGAAAAATCACTTCAAAGGCAGGTAGTTCACGACCAGTAGTCTGGCTACAACAGGTGATGATTCTATAGCTCCTGGAACCAAAGAAAAGCAGCCTATGGAATCTGTTTAAATCCAAGTCTGTTGAGATAAACATTATGCCAAATGTTTCTAGCCTTCAATATCTCCAGGCATGTGGAAGGACTCTTTTCTTGTATGTAACCATGTGATTCATCATGGTCAGTGACTATAAAGGAAATAAGTCAGTCCCAAAATGGAGCATTCAGTTTTTAATGTAAGACCTTTAAGAGCTCTCTCATCCCTCTTACATGGTGAAGAGAGGTGTTAGTGACAGTAATGCTCTATCTACTTAGGTCTCAGAGTGACTCTGATGAATGGAGCCCAACTCCTAGGTGTAGACACACAATGTACATGTAGCACAAGACAAGTTAACCTTTGTTGCTTTAGGTTTCTGAGACCAAGGGATAATTTGTTATACAGCACTACCTAGTCTACCCTGACTGACACAATGCTCCATAAGTTTGAATCTCTGTTCAGGAGGAATATACACAGTAATGGACTACCACAACAGACTCTAAGAACTTAGCTTCCTTGGAATCCCCCAAGTCCAAAATTGTGGCTAGACTCTCAGAGGATTTCAGGCTGACTCCCATAGCTCCTAAACTCCACATCTCCAAGCAGTACTCTTTTCTCTTGTTTTTTTAAATTGAGTGTAATTGAAAATTTTAAAAAATATATTTAAGGTATACAACATCATGTTTTGAGATTCATATGTATTTTGAAATGATTATCAAAATCAAGATATTAACCTATCCATCACCTCACATTCTTATTCTTAATTTCCTCTGCTAAGCAGTACTCTTAAACCAGAGGGACATGGAAGGTCTGTGAGCTTTCTACTGTTCGCTCCACCAACTCAAGGATGGGTTACTCCCCATTTTCTCCCCCCTCCAAACAAAAATGTTGTGAATACTAGGTTCACCTGCAAAAATAAAATATTAAATCATGTAAAGTGCCTTGAGAGAATTTAGAATAAAAGTCATTTGTAGCTTCCTTAGGATATGAAGTTTGATAAATTTATTCCTTTTTCAGTACGAAAACTAACTTATTCCTTGGCATAAGATATTTTTCCTCACAAAGCATTTATCTCAGGCAGTTCACAATTATTCCATAATTATTTTGAAAAAAATATTTCTTAAAAGTAGGGTTCTTATTTTAATGAGGGAGGAATTCAGTTCATTTTTTTGTTTAAACTTGCTGTTCATTTATTGTAGCACTGGGTTGTCATGATAACTACCTCTAAAAGCAGATCTCCTTGACATTTTACCACAACCCTGAGGCATTTGGGATTGTTTCTACTCATTTTCCCCCAAGATCTATGATTTCAAATTATTTCAAAGGATTTTAATGTGAGTGCATTTTGTTCACACAAAAGACTCTTCTAGCTAGGCATCGCATCAAGCTAGAAACAACTTGACAGAAACTGCCATTAACAGACAGCTACAAGAAAAACAAAATAAAATGAGAAATGTTGAAACGCTGTTTATTTTTTCTTTCTTTTTTAAAGCTGACAGAGGCAATGGAAACAACTTAAGTAAGATAGTCAGGTAACCTCTTACCTTCAACAACCACAAGCTTTGCAAAATATTCCCTAAATACAACATGTGGGGTAAGGTTTTATATTTAGCTGTTTGTTTCCCTTTGGTCTTCTCTTATGGCAGTAAGATGTTTCTTAAAGGCCTAAAACCTTTCCTTGTACCTAAGAATTGCCCTAGATTTTGTGAATTATTGCAAATGGTAATCACAAGTGTAAATGAGGAATTGGTAACACAAGTACCCATCTGTGCATGCAATTAACTGCTGTGAGCAAGTAATTGCTTGTTTTTCCAAGAGCCTACTTAGAAACCTTGGTTTTAGCATGTGTTTTTTGAATAATTCTGTCATAACACGCAGCAAAACTTTTTTCCTGGGACAAATACTTTACATAAGCTACCAAACAACCCATAATTTTTAGTCTTATAAAGATCATATCTAAAAAGCCAACCCCACCATAATTGATTTTAAAAAGAGCCTCACACTTCTAAGACACACTCAGGGCATTTTCCAAGCAGATCAGGAAAGCCCAGCATGGCTAATGCTCACTGGGATGCTCCTGTCCAAGCACTCTCAAGAGATTTCTGAAGCTTTTGATAGTAATGTTTTCATTACTTCATTCAACAGAGAATATGCTTGTTGAATACCTACCATATACAAAGCTTTCTGTTGTAAGATTTATGGAGAATACAGAAATGAATTCAAGCATGGAATTTTCTCTTAAACTTGCAATCAATCAGGAAATAGAAGATGTGAAGCTATCCAAAACACAAATAGCTGTAATTCAAAGTTTGTGAAGATACCTATTACTTTATCAATCCAAACCTGCCCCCAAAAATAGGCATATATTTTGCATTTAAAAAAATATAAAAAGTATCTTTGGATCTGAGCTTGCATCGAGCTGTGTCACTGCCTCCTCTCACCAAAATGTCCTGATTGCCTTCCCTTCACCAAGTCACCAGGCTCCTGAATGGTCATCAACACTTCTCTTCAGCTACTATTGACTTTGCTCCCCCACCTGCTGCTAAAAGCCTTAATCTATAGCGATTTTTTATACTACACCAAGCTGCTACTTCTTGGCTTTTACAAAATATCCTGTTCCTCTCATCATTGCCCTTTCCCCTGAAGTACTACCTACATATTAACAACTCTCAAATTACAATTTTCCGCCCCAACCTCTCCCCTGAAGCCCATACTTGTCAGCATTTCCTCTTAGGTATTTCATAGTCACATCAGATTTTGTTTGCTAAAACCAACCCCAATCCATTCCTCCATTGCCTTATCATTTCCCTATCTCAGTAATGGACAGTACCAAATTTTGTAATCATCCTTTCACCCCCTCTTTCTCTCACACTGGACATTCAGTCCGTTAGCAAATCTTTGACTCTAACTTCAGAGAGATCCAGACTCCACCACTTCTCACATCTCCACCACCATCACCCTGGGCCAATGCTGTTATTCCAGGCCTGAATTGTTCCCACTGCCTCCTAACTGGGCTTCCTTTTTCCTCCCTACCCCCTCCAAAATTATTCTCCCATTTAGTCATTGGAGTGGCCCTTTTAAAAGCAAATTATGTCACTCTTCTGATCAAAAACCTCAAATGGCTTCCTTTCTCCCTCTGAGTCAAGCAGAATTCCTAACAAGAATCTGCAAGATCCTTCATGATCTGCCCCACAACCCATCCTGCTGTTAACATCCCCACTACCACCATCACCTCTAGTCACTATGACTCAGCAAAGCTGGCTTCCTTATTGCTCCTTGCACACACGAAGTACACTCCTGTTCTCACTCATGGATTCTCATCCCCAGGAATCTATGTGGCTCCTTCCTACACTACTTGTAGATCTCTTATCCACAGAGGTCTTATCAGAGAGCTTATTGCCCAAGCACTCAGGAATACAGTTCCTACCCTCTGCCCAAAACTACCATTCCCAGTTGCTAACTTCTTTTTTATCTGTAACTCTTCTTGCTATGATA